AAGTCAAGGGAGAAGGGGCAGCTAGGTGGCGCAGTGAATAGAGCACTGGCCCTGGAGTCAGGAGGACCTGAGTTCAAATCCGGCCTCAGACACGTAACACTCACTAGCTGTGTGACTCTGGGCAAGTCACTTACTCCCAGCTGCATCACCAAAAAAAAAAAAAAAAAAGTCAAGGGAGAAAAGAGAAAAATATATAAATATTGTAGAGGTCAGGGAGGATGAAGATTGGGGTGGGGGGAGATCCATCCTACAATGGAACAGGTGTTGCTTCTGATACTTATTAGTAGTGAGACCTTAAGCAAGTCACTTAATCACTTAAGTGCTCTCCTTCTCTCCTCTGTAAAATGAGGGATATGGACTAACTGGATTTTAAGGTCTCCTGAAACTCTAATCTATGACTTTATGGTAGATAGGGATGGAAGCCAGGACATTGTGAGCCAAGTGCCAAAGTCACAGAAAAAGGACAGTGACTTGATTTGACTTTAGTCCCAAATACTATTGACTTCAAACAATATTTTTTGGTATGGAAGTCCAGACTGATGACACTTCAAGAAATCAGGTTGTTGAAGTAGCCTTAAAAGGAAAAAAAGATGGGAAGGAGAAGAGAAAGAGAAAGGGGTAGGAGCAAGGAAAGGAAAAGGAAAGAAAATGACTTTTTCCCCCCTAAATGATTCAAATGTGGTTTGAGGAAACTAGAATTTTGACATGTCCAGGACAAGGCTAACATGATTTCTGTGGGTACAGGGAAGTCATACAGAATGCAAATTGGGTTTTCAACAGTGATGAATCCTAAGCAGATTATTCTAATAATTTTTTATAGCTCTGGGAAAATCAAGTGATATTGGATATAATTAATATCCTCTTTAAAATGGTCAGATGTCAGTTTAAATTTCAAGCCACGGCAGGTTTCAGACTTTTTTCTTTTTAAACAAATGTTTGTCTACATGATAGCAAATCTAATAAAAACTTTGGTTTGAAGGTTAAAGTATGACAACAGCAACAAATGTAACATAGAAAAAGCCATTAATTTGTGGAAGCAGCAATGTGGAAACCAAATAAGACACATAATTATAGAACATTTTTCCACTGTCTATCCTTATTTATTATAACAGCAATTACCCACACAATGCTCTTCAGTTTTCAGGAAATGTTCACATCTACTAGATCTTTTGACCTTTACAACAACCCTTGAGGCTGATATTATCCTTGTTTATAGATGAACTATGGCTCAGTGTCTTAAATCATGCCCAAGGTCCCAAGATCACACAACCTTATGTACATGTGAAAAACAAACAAACAAACAAATAAACATGTATTCTAATTCTAGGCCAGTGGCCTTTCCACCACCATACTAGTTCTTCCATGTTATATACCTATAACATGCCAGGTGTTGTACAAAACATGGAAAATCAATGAGCATTCATTAAGTGACTACTATATATGGCAGGCAACATGCTAGGTTCTGGGGAACAATTCTTTCCCTCAGGGAGTTATATTCTACCAGGGGAATTAACATTTACATATATAAAAATACAAAATCTATACAGTGAAAACACAAAGAAATTTCCAGAAAAGGATGAGAACTAGCAACTAGAGGGTGACTCATATAGGACTCATGGTTCATGAGCTGAGCTTTGGAGGAAACTAGGGATTCTAAGAGGCAAAGGTGTAGAAAGAATGCATTTTTGAGAAAATAGGAGATAGACTGTTTTGTAAGAGGAACAGTAAGTACACCAGTTTGGCATTTTGGCACAGAGTGCAATCTGGGGAGTAATGTATAATAAGCCTGAAAAGATAGGCTGGTGGGAAATTGTTAAAGGATTTACATGTTTAAAAGAATTTATATTTTTAACCGAGAGGCAATAGGCAGTCACAGAGGCTTTTTAAGTGAGGGAGTGATATGGTCAAACCAGTGCTTTAGGAATATCACCACTTTGGAAGCTGTGTGGAGGAGGGACTGGAGAAAATAGAGACTTAAGGAAAGGGAGACGAGTTAGGCGGCTGCCGCGTTAGTTCAAGAGAGATGTGACGATGGACTGAACTAAGGTTGTTGTGCTGCCAGTGGAGAAAAGGGGATGGACACAAAAGATTTGGAAGTCGAATGGAAAAGCCCTGCTAATTGATTTGTTATGAGGAGTGAGAAAGAAGGAAGAGCAGAGAAAGCTTGTAACCATGGGCAACTGAAGAATGGTGGTGTCCTTGACAGGAATGCAGAAGTTAGGAAGAGGGATGGGCTGTGGAGGGAAAGATAGGGAGTTCTGATTTAGACATGCTGAGTCTGAGATGCCCACTGAGCATTCACTTGGAAATATCCAATAAGGAGGCGAGGGTGTGAGAGTGGAAGTCAAAAGATACACAGGCTACAGGTGACTGCTCTGGGAGTAACTGAACCCATGGGAGCTGATCAAATCACTAAGAGAGAAGATGTAGGAGGAAAAGATAAGAGGGCTCAGGATGGAGCCTTGGATAGACCTACCCTTAGGGGAAGGCTGTGGATGACAGAGAGTAAGAAGGAACAGATAGGCAGGAGAGAGGAAAGCCAAGAAGAATAAGAATCTAGGAAGAGAAGAGGGTCTACAGTGTCAAATGCTGCAGGGGGGTCAGGAAGGATGAGGCAGAAAAATAGCCACTGGAGTTGGAAACTAAGAGATTAATAGTATAACTTTAGAGAGAGAAATTTTAATTGAATTATGAGGTTAGAAACCAGGTTAGAAGGAGCTGACAAATGAATAAGAGAAGAGAAAGCAGAAGATGAGTGTGGACAGATTTTTCTAGAACTTTGGCTGTGAAAGAGAGGAGAGATATAAGATAGTAGCTTAAAAGGATAGTAGGGCCATATGAAAGTTTTTCAAGGATGAATGAGGTCTGGGCATATAAATAGGCAGCAAAAAACATAAAGCACTTTTTTTTTTTGGCTAGGCAATGGGGTTAAGTGACTTATCCAGGGTCACATAGCTAGTAAGGGTCAAGCGTCTGAGGCCAGATTTGAACTCAGGTCCTCCTGACTCCAGGGCTGGTGCTCTATTCACTGCACCACCTTCTTTAACTTCTTGTTAAAGGCAGGGATAGGAAGTCACCTCTGGGGTTCAGAAGACAGTAACAGGAGGCAAGGAGGATTCTGACCAGTACATTCCATGAGGAGAGGGACTAAGCTAAAGACAGGAAGGCTCCACTAGGAAAAGAGTAATAGAGAAGAGAGGAGAGAAGTAGAGTTTTTACAATAACTTACGGAGATGAAAGAACACATACACCACAGATGGCAGAGGCAGCGGCAGCAGGCTTTGGTATCAACACGAATCTGAAGAGTAAAGAGCATGGTTTCTAGGATGCTCTTGGGGTCAAACACATGGTGGCTGTGTGATTATCAAAGGGCCATGGTCAGCAGGAAACTGTAACCGGCACTGAGCATGTGGGAGCCTTAAGGATCTCATGAATAAGAAGCAGCAAGTATTACAAAAGCATCGGAAAAAGGCAGGCAGTAAAATCAACGGAAAAAATAAGATCATTCACTGGGGAACCATCAACTTCCAAAATTCCACTGTTGGCTATTTTTCTACCATGCGTCTAGGAGAGGAAAGGTTTGTTCCCTCAGAGCTGCCATAAAACCCGCCTGTGGTCTTGTATCCAAGTGAGTACTTACTTTCAGTTCAGGTGCAAGAGGCATCTTCTGGTACGCCTCTCTATGGAGCAGAAGAGATCTCCTGCCCACCCATGCTGGCCTCTCGTTTCCACTCCACACATGCCTTTTTCTAGAGTCCATTTCTCATTGTTATAACTGGACTAGTCAAATGTCAGTTGGTCATCGTTCAAGTCACCCCTTCTAGGGGCAGTTCTCGATTTCTGAGGCCTCTTTAGGGAGTCCCTTTACTACTATCTTCAGGTGTTCTCAATAGGTTCTCCAACAGGACGCAGTAATGGGTTAACTTAGTGGTGGGTATTAAAGGTGGTCACTTGTTGATCAGTTCCCTTTATTTTAAAACCTAAAATGAGAACCTGGATTCTATGTCGTGAATGGATGCAGTAAATTTACAAAATTATCCCTGCCAATTCTGAATATGGTCACAAAACATCAGATGGGAGACATAAAATATATCATGTTTTGTCTCTCTCCTCTGTTCTGAAGAGTAAATTTCCAAAAGAGAATAATGTGAACTTAGTTCAGGGTCAGAGGAATGCAAGCAAGATATTAACTTACATTTGTTAAACTTAACTTTTTTCTTTTTTTGACCAACATCCAAATACTCTGCCCATCTGAGTGTGGAGATTGAATTGTAGAAGCCAAATGTTTGTTAATGAGCTAAGACAGCAGACCTAGAAGACATGGTATAAACTATAACCCTTCAAACAATGAATATGGAAAGAGAGAGAAAGAGAGAGAGAGAGAGAGAGAGAGAGAGAGAGAGAGAGAGAGGGGAGGGGGCACTACATATTTACTAGGAAACCATTCCAAAAAGCTGCAAAGACTGACTGACTGGTGATGCCTATCCCTGAACATCTTTGAGGAAGCCCTAAGAGCTGAAGAGAGGAAAGTCTGTTTCTTATGCTTCCCTTTCTCACAGATGTGAACTAGGAGTATATGCATTGGTAGAAATTGTCAAGCAAAAAAATCACTCTTTGCATTGTAAAGAATCTCTGGATTATTTTCTATCTTTCATTAGGTATTTACTGAGAGCCTGCAGTATGTTTTGGGTTGAGGGTGAGGTAGACTTGCCACCAGCTGACACCACATAGAAATCTGAATTGCCTGACTGAAACTACACAGATGGCTGGCTGGGTTCATCAGTTCCAGTCCCCATAAAATACACCGGAAGTATAAAAACAACACACTCTCACTTTATGGAGTAATTATCATATAGATCCTCTTTAATTTTAGCTTCTTGGTTAAAAATATTGGTAAAACTTGGCTATAAGATTCTTTTTTTTTTTCTTTAGGCAATTGGGGTTAAGTGACTTGCCCAGGGTCACACAGCTACTAAATGTGTCAAGTGTTTGGTCTGAGGCCGGATTTGAACTCAGGTCCTCCTGACTTCAGGGCCGGTGCTCTATCCACTGCACCACATAGCTGCCCCATAAGATTCTTGAAGAACAATATTCCACATACAAGTTGACCTCCAGTGTCTTACTTAATGCTTAACTGGGCATCCTTGAGAGGAAAGCTATTACATAAATCTAATGAATGAATGAATGAATGAACAATGCATTTATTAAGCTCTTATTATGTGCAAAGAATTGTGCTAAGCACTACAAATAATCATAGATAATGCAAAGAGCAGGAACTTTTAATCTGAATATGTGGCCTGCACATAGTAGGTGCTATATAAATGCTTATTCCCTCACTTTCTCTGCCTTCCAAGTGATTCTTCTACCTTCCAAACTCTTGCTCTTTACCCTCATGGAAGTGGTCAGGCCAAGAATATGCTTCTGATCTATTCAAAATTACTTTCACAAAATGAACCAGATGGAGATTCGTAGGGGAAAATTCCCCCCCAACCTGCAGGATTACTTGAACCCTGACCCCAAAAAGCCTAAAAAAAATAAGATAAAGCATGACATTTTTGAGTATTGAGCCATGCTTATTGCTTTACTTTTCTTTTTCTTTTGTTCTGATGGCAAAATTTTTGTTTATGGGATTTGGAAAAGTGACATTTATTTAAGGTCACAAAACACTGCTTCCTCATCTGAAGTCAGCAGGTCGGGGTGGTCCAACAAAAAGGTCACAAACAATACAATGTGTATGAGGTCAGCTGCCTTCATTAGAGATGTTCATGATTATTTGATCGTGGTCCTATCAAAAACCTACCAACTTCTTTACTTCTTGGCACACTGGCTTTGCTAGTTCTTTGGCTTTTTCTGCCCCGACTTCTAAGACCTTTCTCAAGTGGCCTTTTTCCATCTTCAGTCTCTCAACCTCACTCTTAATTGGTGCAAATTTCTGAATAACGGCCTCAGCCACCACATTTTTGTAGCGAGCAGTGTCAAGACCAGCACTCTGGCGGATGACTTCTTCTACTGTGCGTCCCGTCACGGCAGCGTGAATGTCCACCATGTTGGAGACGCCCATTCGGGTGGATGGGTCGTAGGTCACCGCTGAAGTAAAGTCTGTAACAGCTTTACGGAATTTCATCACGATCTCCTCTGGGCTGTCTGTTATCCTAACGGTGGCTAGTTTGTCAGGGTCCGATTTTGACATTTTGGCTGAAGGATCACGGAGTGATTTTACCTTCCTCGTAGAGGCTAAGAACAAGAACAAAAACGGTTAGTGCCTAGCTCTCTAAATAAGTTTTGGACACCAAATCAGCAGCTGTGGTTCTTCTCTAGGAAGAATGCATCAGATAGAAGGTGGGGAGAAAGCCCCAATGTTGTGATCTCCAGTACCTCGTGCAGTACAAGTGCTTAATGAATGTTTGTTAAATGGAATGGAAACTTGTGTGCCTATTAATGACATCTTTGGAGGATTATTGATGACCATAGTAGTGAAAACTGAAGCAGTTCATGGAAGATCTTAATTTAGCTTCTCTGAATCTTCTAAATCTTATATGCTTCACGAATTTCCTTATTTCACATACTACAGAGCTACTGAACTATCTGGGTTGCTGTTTTGGTATGTTCATGAGTAAAGAAGCCTAAAAATAAAAATAGGTTTTATTCTAGTTTCTGTGGACTCTTCTTCTCCTACTTGTTGACAATGTATATGTTTATAGTACATACTCAAGCAATTTTTTTTTTAATTCGGAAATGATTTATTTGTTGCTTGGGAGAAATACATTTGGTTTTGTCTCACAAAATGGCGCTTCCTATGTAGTATGCTCTAAAGGAGTTCATTATTGTCTGGATAATATTTACTAATCCTATAATGACACAAATATTAGCCAGCAAAAAAATTATAATATAATACATAATTATTTGGGGGAGACTCAAATATAAGAAAAACTTCCCAACAACTGCAGTTATTATAGTACTTTTGAGTTGGAAGAATTTTTTACTTGTTTTTCTTTCTTACATATCTAGTCTAACCCCATCATTTTATTAATAGGGTAATAGACCTAGAGAAGTTAAATTATTTATCCCAGTTGACACAGCTAATTAGTGGCAAAAATGGGATTTGTAAGTAATCTGGCAGCTAGGTGGCACAGTGGATAGAGTGCTGAGCCTGGAGTCAGGAAGATTCATCTTTCTGAGTTTAAATCTGGCCTCAGAAACTTATTAGCTGTGTGACCCCAGGCCAGTCACTTTACCCCTGTTTGCCTCAGTTTTCTCACTGTAAAATGAGCTAGAGAAGGAAACGACAAATCACTCCAGTATCTTCACCAAGAACACCCCAAACTGGGTCATGAAGAGTTGGACATGACTGAAAATGAGTGAACAACACAAACAACAAAACCTTACTACTAATATGGTAGTTTTTTCCCACCATATCATGTCACTCTATTTCCTTTGGAATGTTCAAAAATAGCAGGGGCTGCCTTGACAGCAAGTTTACTTGGAGTATTCCAGTGGAGACGGGATAATCACCATTCAGGGAAGTTATAGAGGGGCTTCATACTGTGGGGAAGGATTGGGCTAAATAACCTCTGAGTCCTTTGTTGGGCACTCAAAGCCCTTCATAACCTGGCCCCCTCCTACTTTCCTGTCTTCTTACACCTTATTCAACTCCATGTATTCTGTAACATAGTAACAATATCCTTCTCCCCCACACAAACCTTACTGTTCCTTGCACAAGATAATCTATCTCCTGAACCCTTGCATTTTCTGCAGCTGTCCCTCATGCCTGGCATTCTCTCCCTCCTCATCTCTACCTCCTGGCTTCCCAGCCTTGTCTAAAATGCCACCTTCTGTAGGAAGCCTTTCCTGATTCCCCTTAATGCTAGCGTCTTCCTTCTGTTCATTATCTCCACTTTATCTTGTATATAGCTTGTTTATACATGTTGTGTGAATGCTGTCTCCTCCATTAGACTGAGTTCCTTGTGCGTAGGAAATTGTCTTTTGCCTTTCTTTGTATCCTCAGTGCTTAGCACAATGCCTGGTACATAGCAGGTTCTTAATAAATGCTTGTTGACTGACTGACTCCGAGTTCTCTTCTAACTCATGAAAACACAACACATCACCAAATGAAGTTTTTCCTTGAATGTGTATGGATTTACCAAAGTATTTTTGTACCAATTGTTAAGATGACCTACAATTTACATCAGCTTTGGCTTATGGTGTACATTAAGAACATGATATACAAACTCTATGTAGTTAAATTTTGCTTGACAGCTACAGTAAAGATGAGTAGGCTACAGTGCAGTGATCTTTACCCCATCAGAAGTTTACTTCTATTACCATAATAGTTTATAAGGGAGGTCCACCCCTATCTTTTCTCAAGAGAAATCAAAGACTAGGTCAAGTGGGTGAAGTTCAGTTCAGGATTCGGATGTAAGTAACAAAGGACTCATTCCATTTCTGTGATGCTTTTTAGGAAGGCAAAGAGGATCATCAAGAGCTAGCTATACCAGCAGTATTATAATTTCATAAGCATTCTTTTAATTTATTTGCTTCCTTGGGTTTTCATGACTATGTGGCATTTAGAGAGCACTCTAAATCTATGTAGGAATTTCAAACCCTTACAATTTATTTTTCCTAATGCTTTGATTTGTCCTATTATTCCTATAACAAAGAATGAGACATACATAAATACTATCAGGATACATAAATTATAAATTTTATTTAAATATCAAAGACATAAATTTTCCATTTGTCACTAGGAAATTCTTCCTAGGTCTTATAGTTTTAGATTATTTATTTATAACTATCATGAGCTGATTAGGATATTATTATGCTACCTTTAACCCTACCACTCATTACTTGATAAAAGCACCAGAAACAGTTATTAGTGTACTGTGTTCATATTTTAATATAAATACAAATGGCCATGCATTTTCCTTATTAGAAAATTCCTTACCAATTTCCTGCTAAGATCCTAAAAATAATATCTGGATAATAATATAAATACCAAATTAGCTTCATTTAGTACAATCTAGCTAACACTTTTTATGACAGTTTTAAAGAAAATTATAAGACAAAGTGTACTACTGAACATTTCTATGTAAAAACAAATAAAAAAAAAGCCAATTGGAAATTTCCATGTAAAAGAAAAAAAGAGACACAGAAGGATAAGAATGGGGAAAACCTGATTTTCCCCAAATCATGAACTGCCCACAGGAGACCAAAACATTTATTCATTCAAAACAAGTATTTACTAAATACCTAAGATATGCTTGACATTATGTTAAGCAAAGGAGAAAAAAAATTACCCAAACCCCTCAGATTCACAAAGAATGAACATGGATAGCCATAAATTAAGGAATGACTTATCAAACTGTGGTATATGAACACAACGGAATATTGTGCAGTGAGAAATGACAAATATGAAGAATTCTGAGAAACATGAGGACATTTGTACAAACTGATGCAGAGCGAAATAAGTGAAATTCCCCTCCCCCAAAAAATAACGGATAAAATGCCTACAATAATGTCAACTGAAGCCAAACTCTGAGTAACTGAAAAAGCAATATGGTCCTGGAGAACAAATAATGTAATCTCCCTTTAATGGCAGAGAGAAAGAGGAGACTTGTAAGGCAGAAGGCAATGTACGTTGTCTGACTCAGTCACTGTTATCAAGCTTTTTCACTTAACTGCCTTTCTTTGTTAAAGGGAGAGCTCAGTTAGATCCCAGAGGGAGGGTATTTCCAGAAATCAATCTTTTTTTCTTTCTTTCTTTCTTTCTTTTTCTTCCTTCCTTCTTTCCTTCCTCCCTCCCTCCCTTTCTTCCTTTCTTTGTTTTTTCTTTCTTTCTTTCCTTCTCAACATTTGACTCAAGCATATTCTAAGTTGAGACCTAGTCACCTAGTCTTTTACCTTCTTCGTAGTCCCCAAATTTAATCAACAAGACTGCAAGTACAGATTGGCATCTTCAAAATCAACCACAATCTAATAATCACAGACTTACTACTTACTTAACAGAGATCTGGGTACCGGAAAGAACTCCCCATACTTCTTGTTAAAACGTTGTGCTAGATCTCGGACCAGCTCCATATGTGTGACTTGATCTTCCCCAACAGGGACGTGTGTGGACCTTTTAATAAAAGACAGATAGAAAGTCTCAGAGAAGCTCTTTGGTCATGTTGAAATGATACCTAGGCTGCTGCTTTTCCTAGGCTTATTTCACTATTAGTATTCCACAAATGTTTGTCAACGACAGAGGAGGAGAGAAGACCCAAGTGTACCTCTGCATGTTACACAGATGCCAAAGAGATTGTTGTCCAACCAAGTTCTGTGAGTTTTTTCTTTTTTTTTCTTCCCCTAGATCAGTAAAGTTTTTTTTTTCCCCTAGATCAGTAAAGTGCAGCTACAAACACCAAACAACAGCCTGTTCCTGGGGAGAGGAAAGGTACCTGAAATAGCCTATGCTCTCTATTAAGTTGGCTTAGTTGCAATTTAAATCCATACCTCCCTTACCCATACCACCCCCAATCTGAATATCTGAGTCCCTGACCTCATTGAAAGGCTCAGAGAAAATTAGAGGCCACCAGTGCTCGGGGAGGATGACTGTACAGAGGACAGCTTTTGGAATAGTTAACTTAAAAAAAAAAAAGAATCGTTAACCAGTGTCATTTGAAAGACAGCTGAAGCTCTTTCTGCCAGAGCGCTCCTCATTTTCTTGGTGAACTCCCCACAGCTTACGATAACAGATAACATGAGTCTGTTTGGGTATACTTAGTAAGAGTAGGAGCTAAAGAGGAGAAGGTGGTAAGTTTAACAGCCAAGCAGAAGAGTAAAGATCAGTTTGTGGTCGAGAGAGATAATCTAGAGACTTCATACCCAACCTCAGCATGTCATCTCATCAGTTTATGCCACTGGTCACAAGGAGTGTCAATCTGTCACAATTCAAAGCACAGACAGTAGAGCTAATGTGTGTGTACCAACACAACATTGATATTCCATCTTTCAAAACATGAGGAGAAGGGCAAAGAATGGATTTTGCTAGTACTAAGTGAAAAAGATTACCTGGAGATTAATGCCAAGTTTTAATTGTTTCGTAAGATGCCCTAAAACTGAAGGGTGTATTACAAACCAAAATGCCTTTTAAAAACTCTTACTTTTTACTATCATGTTCTATAACCACATATAGTTTTCCACTTGTTTTCTTGCTTATAGTACATTTTATACTTCTTTGTGTAACTTCATAAAAAAGCCACTGTGGTCTTACATGGGCCCAAAGCACATTTTTTTTTTTTAAATTAAATTTCCAAACGGTGGCAAATTTCTGTCCCTTGAGAGTGGATCTAAATTTTGGAAAATCAAAAGTCACTCAGAGCCAAACTAGACAAATAGATGATTGGGTCAAAAAACCAGGTGGGATTACCAAACAATGTGTGGTAAATGAAGGGGCTCTGAAGCCCTTTGAAAGTGTTTTGAAACCTATTCTGAGAATTTCTGCATTCATGGAAGGAGTTCATAGCATCCTAAGGTATCTGCTTTGTTGGGGACAGGACTCATTTTGAATGCATATATTTTAGAATGTTTGGTTTAAAAGGGTGGGGGAAGCACGTCATTATATAACAGTCACATAGCATGGTGTAGTGAAAAGGGCACTGGACTTGAAGTCAGGAAGATAGGTTTAAATCACATTTCAGACACTTATTAGCTGTGTGAACCTGAACAAGTCACCTAACTTTTGTGGGCTTCAGTTTCCTTATGTAGAAAATATGGGGGTTACACTCAATAGCCTCCAAGGTTACTTCCAGTTCATTTAGAGCTATGATCCTATGGTTCTATCTATAAATACACTCAACTTTTAGTTATCTGTGCTGAGAGAAAACACAGAGGTTACAAAAAGTATCACACTCTTCCAAATAATTTCCATTTGGTTTTAGAATGCTATTAGAGAAATACACTCAATCAGAGCAGTACTCACCCCTTTTGTGCCTAGTATTACTGCCTTTATCATACTGTAACTCTTCCCCTTTTTCCTCTGTAGCACAAGGCATACAGATGGTACAAAACCATTTTATCACAGAGTAGACATCTCAAGATTCAAGTGATAGACAGATTATTAACAGCTCAAAATCACTACCTACTTCAGTTTGGTACTAATTAATGTGACTCAGGCTTTTATGGTTAATCTTCCTAGTTCAGCCTTCTGATTAAGAAAGACTTTTTCTCCCCCCTGGATTTGGATCCATCTCTTGGTTCAAAACCAAACTCTTGATGATGGATACTGCCCAAAGAATTTTTCCCCAAACAGGGTCTCTATTTCCTGATAAACAAGAGAAGACAAAGGCCCAAGATGGGTTTCTCTGAATCCTGTCTCAATAGTTTTTCTAAAAGTTATTTTTTTTCATAATTCCCTTCCCTTTAACATGAATAGCTCACATTCATTTCTTCATAACATTGGTATGTTGGTACTATAAATGCACCTAGTCATGGTAGAGGAGGAAACCCTAATGCATGCTAGTAGAAGGGGAAAAGCTAACAATACAAGGCTAAAAAATTACTGTTGAAATCCAGAAAGTAGATAATTTGAAAGCGAATATAGCATATTATGGAGACATGAAGGTAGTAGTCTCACTAGAGCACAAGAATTAAGCACAGTGGAGACTACATGGTGCATGCAATCACAGAATTTTAGGGTTGGAAGATTTTCCCCAGTTATCTGTTTCCCTTCTTGTTTTTGCTGAATATCCTGTTTCTTTAGAATACACCTTATCCTTCCTGAGCTATATTCTAGACATGGGGCTAATCTCCCACACAGCCTCAGTGATAGCTATGGAGTCTCCTTATGTTAGGACCTCTAGTCCACCTTGCTTGTCACTTATACTTTGTGTGTTTGTGTATAGAGATTTGAGGCCATGTGTTTACTTACTAGTTCTCCTCCTGGATTTTATCTTCTTTGTGTCTCAATTGCCATTCTTCTTCCTACACTGTAGTCACCCTCTTTATGGTATCTTGCTTGGTGGATAGATATCGACTGGTTTCTCTTTCCCCTTCCTTTGCAGTTTGAAGACATTTTGATTAGCTTTATAAGACTCCAGACAAATACCTTCTAATCAGTTCTTGTTAGGCTGAGAGAAAGCCCAAAGGGTCTATGAAGAGACATCATGAAGGATCTGACTGTTGTTCTGATGAGTAACCACCTTCATTTGGAAGTTCTTTCCAAAGATGCAGGTTACAACCCATCCATGCCTGCCTATCTTGTACAACTTTCTCCTGTGTTCTCCCTGAGTTAACTCAAGGTTGCTCACTCAAAGTGATAGAGGCTTTCTTTACTTTCTCTCGACAGTACGGCCACCCATTTGTTATCCCTAACCCTTGTTATATAAGACCAGCTCATTTTCTTTTCCTATCATACATTTCCCTTGTGACATCTTAAACTTCTATTCTTCTTCAAAGTTTCTTAATAGTTCTATATAACCACCACATACTTCTCCACTACCCTGTGAGACACAGATTTTCATTTCTTCAGAGAACGTTGTATTCCATATCTCACCAGCCACACAGTAATTACTGGTAGAATATTGGTATCACGAAATGGGTTTTTGTGTCTGGAGTCATTAAAGGAACTCTGCAATTTCCTGAAAGCAATGAAATCAATTCCCTGCCTTCTGTTTAATTTTGGGCCCAATATGTTGTCCATTTGTACTGTTTGTCTCATAGGCTCACACAAAGACGGACAAGCTCGTTAAGTTGTCCATCCAACTGTAACTTATAATTTGGGCAACAGCCATTCTTCGTCCATTTGGTCTTTCCTATGAGCATAGTCCAAATTCTTTTGAATCTGTATGAATCTGCTCCAGGAAGCTTTCCAACATTCTTGGGCTAAATGTAACTGTCACAATGTCATTCACAAACAGGAGCATCTGGAGGATTGTATGGGGACTCACTCTTGAAATCTGTGCTGGATTTCCTCCAGACAGGAGCAAACACCTTTAGTGAATATGTCTCCCTGTTTTACGTCTTGCCTGACATTTAGCAGCAGAGGATAATTGAACAGTTATCTCTGTCGCTATATCATCCAAGGAACCTTGAGTGATTCTGATGTATAGATTAAAGACACCTTGTTGGAAGAGAAACTTTAAGGATCATTCCCCAATCTCCCATAATTAACCAACAATAAGCACTGTGTGACCTTACATTCTCCACATCTTTTAGTGAACTGTAAAAGGTAAAAAATGAGTGCCATAGTAGAGTACAGCTTGTGAAAGTCTGCTCCTGACTAATAACCCCACTGAGGATGGAAATGATTCATGTGTAAATGAGTCTCATGAAAATTTTGTATAAATTAGAAAGCAGGCTTACAGTTTGGTAGCTATTATATTCTCTCAGTTGCCCTTTCCCACTATTTATAAAGCCTAAGGTTTTTTTTTCCCCCCTTATTCCTTTGGTATCTTCTTCAGATACCTTGTGAGAAAATCCCTTGAGGTCCTCACAACCATGTCACTTCTAGAACAAAGCTCCTCTATGCTGGCTGCTTTCCACATCTTTGTTCTTTTTAATACCATTTCTATGTCACCCATAATCCCATCTGGGGCTGTGATACTAGAATCTGAGTGCATTCATTGTCCCTGATGGCCAAAAAAAAAAAAAAAAAAAGGAAAGTTTGTTGTCAAAATCTTTGCAGATATTTTCCATTTCCTTCTGTTTGCTGTCCTTCCATTTTTGTTGTTCAGTGCCTGCAGAGTGAATTGGCTTAGTTTGATCACCAGTGCTTTTGCACTAGATGTCCCCTATGCCTGGAATGCACTCCCTCCTCCCTTCTTCATAGAATCAGCCTTTTTCTTCAAGATACTTTCCATCAATTGCTAGTGTCCTCCCTTTCAAATTACCTCGAATTTAACTAATTTGTATTTATTCTCTTTATACTTCTTCTATACATGCTGCTAATATTGTTGTCTCCATCATTAGAATGTAAATTTCTTGTCAGTAGGGATTGTTTCAGCCACTATGTTTGTACCCCTGACAGTACAGGATACTTGATTGCGTGATAGATTGATCCTTTCAAGTTTTCTTTAAACTGTTCTTACCTTCCACTGCTTATCTCTGATTTATGAGATATTCCAATCATATCATTCATCA